GGACTGATTGAAGAAAGGCTAGGTCAGATCTGGCGTGTGGGGCGTGCAGCTCACGAACGCGCCAGCACCGCCAGAGCCAACAGGCACACGTCGTGAGGACGGCGTTGTGGTGGGGAGGGGGAGGGGAGGTGGCTCGCAACAAGAACACACCACTCATTATCGAACCACTGACGAGAGGCAGAGCAACCAACAAAGCAGTGCCTTAGCAATTTGTTGTGGGGTCCTCTCCTTCCAAATTAGTGGTTGTGTGGGACCTCAGCAAATGTCATTTTTCCTTTCTGCACCCATGACACCAGTGACCACAGCATCGACAACGACGACGACGACGACAACAACAACCAACAACAACCAACAACAACCAACAACAACAACAACCAACAACAACAACAACCAACAACAACAACAACAACAACAACAACAACAACAACAACAACAACAAGAGCTGCAGTCAGCACCAACCATCTCCAAACCCTTAGCATCCACTCTTCATTACTTTGTAACCATGGCATTCCTCCGGAGACAAGCTCGGCCATCACCACTCGAGCCTCATCCAGTGACACTCAGCGCCACTCGGGAGCAACAAGTCCACATTCTTGCCTTCCTTCTCACAGAGTCGTTTACTGCGTTGCGAGCGAAGCTGCCACCGGCAGCCATCTGCAAGATGGCGGAACTTGCCGTCGTCGCCCTCAGCAGCCAGCGCATCGCGTACCACGCGCCGTCGCACATCTTCAACGTGACACCAGAGGACATCAAGGCGGACCCCATCTCGTTTTTGGCACGCGTGTTCCACGCCACGGCGTTTCTTCAGGCCGACGACTGCATTGCGCCGTATCTTCTGCCCATCCTGCAGCGGGCACGCCTCATCCCCTTGCCGCCAGCTGCGGACCTTCGGCAGGAGGACAGGCAACAGCAACACCAGCAGCACTTGCACCTGTACCTGCACAAGAGCAAGACAAGCTCGCATCTGCAGCCAACCACGACTACGCATGGTGTTGGCAGCATGGAACGCAGTGACGGCGCCATGGCACAGCAGCAGCAGCAGCAGCAGCAGCAGCAGCAGCAGCAAGATGATTGCCAGTCTCGCCGGCGCCGGCACAGGCAGCACTCGGATCCAAGCAGGCAGCGCACCCCGAGCGACGACAGCTACATGCAGGACTTCTCCATCCAAAGCATCCAGGCCATGCCGCAGCTGATGCCTTGTGCTGGGTCGCACGCTGCACGGAAGCGAGGCCTGTGTCAACCGCACGCCCTCGCGCTCATGGCCGGCATCGACGTAGGTTGTTACAAACAGAAGAAGGCCTCTTCCTTGTCTCCTTCCACAACCTCGGCCTCCCTCTCCCCGTCACCGACTCCATTCCCCGTCTTCTCTTCTTCCTGGGGCATTACCGGGGAGGAGGACGAGGTACAAGTGCACTGGCCTGCCGACCATCCCCACCGCGCACGGCGTCGCCGCTCGAGATCCAACGAGTCCCAGGCCGAGCGTCCGCGACAGCACATGCTCGGCGATGACCTGCGTGCTCACCACAGGCGGCTGGTCAGGAGTGCCAGCAAGTCCACGTCGTCATACACCACGGCAACCAGCACCGCCTTCACCCCTGTGCCTGTGGAGGCTGCGGTATTGGCGCATGGACGCGGAGAAGGCCGCCCCGGCATGAGCGTGAGGGCGGCCGTTGCCCGCGTCATGTCGTGGTGGCGTGAGGACCTGCAACAGACGCACGGCATCAAGAGCACCGGCCGGCACCCGCACGAATCCATCCTGCACGGCTACACGGGCGCGCACACGCCGGAGGTGCGCCGGGAGAAGCGGGAGATTGCGCAGCGCCTGTGCTACAGGGTGTTTGGCTACACGGCCGGCGAGGTGATCCCCTTTGAAGCTGATGCTCCGGGCCTGAACGAGTTCATCGCGTGCGTGGTGGCCATGGACATGCTTGGGCCCTGGCTCAACGAGGTGCACCTGCTGCACGTGTGCGCGTGCTTGCGTGCATGTGTACCGTTCCGCACCCACGACGCCATGACCGAGCTGTACGCCACGTGCGTGCGCATCTGCGACGAGGACCTGCCCTTCCTGCAGGTGCTGCCGCGGTCGTGTCTCGAGAAGAACATGCGGCACATTGTGGAGAGCGCGTGCCACACGGCCGCGTACGTGCACGAGCACTTCTCCGCTGAGGATCCGCGTGTGTTCCTGGCACACCTGTGGAAACAGCTTCCGGAGCGGCACGCGTCTTTGCGCGATGCAGACGCGCACACGCTCAAGGACTGGGCTGGCGCCATGGCGGGCACTGTGAGCTACCTCGACTATTTGCTGGAGGAGCCGGCCCGCATCTTCCCGCGCTTCGGCGACGCGCGCACAGCTGAAGAGCAGCAAGAGCTTGAGCAGCGCGCGGTGACGAACATGGCGATTGCGCACAGCGTGGTGTCTTCGCGCCTGATCTGCGCCAGCGCCATCCACGCCGCCCTGAGCTGCTCCCAGTTTGCAGCGGAGGTGGACACCATGCCCCTCCAGCAGCTGTTTGCACGAAACGCAGCCACCGCGAGCAGCAAGACGGCCGGCACTGCCGCGGGTGGTGATAGCGATGAGGTGTTTGCTCGTCTTCTCAAGGGCGACTTGCGGGCTGGCTCGGACCACGTGGCTGTGGTGGAGGCACTGCTCCAGCACGGCTTCAACGACTTTGCAACGGACCGCTGTGACACCTGCGACGTCGCCTTGGACGTGTACCGCGCCCTCACCACCGCGGACGCCGAAAGCGTCAGCGCGGGGCGCAGTGGTGTACCCACGACGGCGATGGGCGACGACAACGACAAGCCTGTCGGAGGTGCAGCGGGGCTGCAAGAGCAGCACGCGGGATGTGGGCACGACCAACAGCACGAAGGGCTTCGTCGGTGCTTGAAGCTGTGCTTGCGGTATCACCGCGGTGAAATGCATGTTCGCTCGTTTCACGCAGAACTGCCCGCGTGCGTGGCTGATGCGGTCGCTCGCTTCGTGCACACGTGTGTCTGAGTGCTTGCGTAAGTGGATGAAGATGGTGGGTGGTGGTGGGGTGGTGGCTGTGGTGGATGTTGTGACTGTCACATCACCACGTTCACTGCATTTTATTTTGTCTTCGCTGGTGCATTTCTGGACAGCGTTGTTTGCTTAGGCTGTGTTGAAATAAACTGTAGCTGTCTCTGAAAACCTTATGCCGTGTGGGTTGCTTGTGTGTGTGTGTGTGTGTGTGTGTGTGTGTGTGTGTGAGAGAGAGAGAGAGAGAGTGTGTGTGTGTGCGTGTGTGTGTGTGTGCGCGCGCGTGTGTGAGTGAGTGTGTGTATGAGTGAGTGTGCATGACGGAAAGCACAGTATGGCCTTATAGCTGAGGCAATCAATCATTTAATCGGGTGTCAATCAGAGGGAACGAACGAAACGTGAGGTGCGTGAGATGTGGTGGTGGTGGTGGCGGTGTGGCGTGTATGCACGGCAATTCTAATGCTCATGCAAATGCTATGAAAGCGAGGGAGTGGGAGTTTAGGTTGAACGGGAACAGTGGTGTGGAGGTGGAGACTGCCGCTGCTACATGTTGCCAAGCCGGGACTTGATCTGCCGTGTACAACGACGTGATTTGTGATGTGGGTTTGACATACGTGTGAGTGCCGTCATGTGGGTGAGGAGAGCAACGCCAAAAAGAAGAGTCACGGATTCACACACACGCACGCACAGACACAGGCAGATGGACGGACGGACAGGCAGACAGACAGACAAACAGACAGACAGACGGACAGACAGACGGACGGACGAACATGCAAACACACACACACACACACATAACACACACACACACACACAACACACACACACACACACACAACACACGTGCTGCACCTTGTGAAAGACGACCATATCGAGGACCGCGAAGCTGCGCACCACTTTCATCTCGTTTGAAGTTTCGCTGAACCGCCAAAAGTTAATCTTAAACGCTGATGGGCCAGCGCACGAGCAATGGCGTGTGAGTGCGGTTATGATGTGTCAGCACCAACGTGAGAGGATGAAAAGGCAAACGAAAGAAAAGAAGTTACAGAGTGTCACAGCGCAGCAAGGGGTGACGAACAAGAGTCTCGAATGAAACACGACCGTGTACACACTTGAACCACAGACGTACACAGACACGGACACAGACATGGAAGCACACACACACACACACAGACACACACACAGACACACACACAGACACAGACACACACACAGACACACAGACAGACACACACACACACACACACACACACACACACACACACCTCGCTGTCTGCTTTCAAAGACGCCGGCGTGGTTGCCCAGAAATGCTTCGCCTTCATCAAACGTCACTTCGTCGAAACGGGAGGCATTGAACAGCACCTCCATATGGCGGAGGGGCACGTAAATCGTGTCGTTGCCCTGTAGTTGAGGAGGGGGATACAGCAGAGATGGAGGATCAGGGCAAGAGGCAGAGGAAGGTTAGCAAGTGCATATGATGGAACAAACAAAGGGGCAGGTGTGGAGGGATGCAGCAAAGTAGACGATTGCGGAGGGGCCAGGGTTTTGAAGCTCAGGAAGGATACACCAACACACACACACGCCACACACATCCACGCACACACACACACACATCCACACACACACACACATTCACACACACACACACACAGATAGACAGAAAGTCAGTCAGTCTCACCTTGAAGACGGCGGCTTCATACACGTTATCGGCGCGACATAGGCTCAGCATGGATGGCTGTAGTGCCGAGGACGCCAGCATCAACAAAGTGTCAGGTATGGTGGTGGTGGTGGCGAGCACAGGTTAAGGGTAGATGAGCGCGGTCACCAACGGCAGCAGCAGTGTGAAAGACATGCAAGAGCGCAACGGCGACGATTGCGCGCTCGACAACACACGCACCTTGTGCAGTGTTGGCTGGGCGGGTTGAATGAACGCGTTTGTGTGGTCTGGTTGTTGCGTGGTATGTGACACACGTGTGCAATACTCGTGAGTGAATGAAAAGATTCGCTTGATGGTGTGAGAAGGATGTGGGAGGGGTGACGCTAGTGGCAAGCGGGAGGGAAGAGGGAGTTGAGAGGGAGGAGAGGGAGAGAGATGAGTGGGAGAGAGAGGGAGGGAGAGAGGAGAGAGGCAGAGAAGGGAGTGGGAGAGTGGGAGTTCTGCACAGACACACAAGCACACAAACAGAGACAGACACAGACAGAGAGACAGAGAGACAGAGAGACAGAGAGACAAGCAGACACAGGCAGATAGGCAGATAGACACAGAGAGGCAGATAGACAGACAGACAGACAGGCAGACAGACAGACAGACACACACACACACACACACACACACACACACACACACACACACACACACACACACACACACACACACACACACACGTCGTACTTGTGCCAAGCATGTGTGGCTTCTTGAGCGCGTGTGCTTGCACGACGGCGCACAAGTCCTCGTCTTGATCCATGGCGATGGATGTGTCAAAGGCACCAAATAAACAACAGCAGTGCAGCGACCAACGACACCTGGAAGGACAGCAGGCAGGGCTGTAAAAATTTCACAACGACTGAATTCAGCATACACAACTGAATTCAGCATACATAACTGAATTCAGTTTGTGCACGCAACGGAAAGCACAGCAAGCAGGGCAAGCAAGCAAGATGATGGAAGAGGAGGGAACATCGAGTGTGCCCAGCGGCGAGACGTCTGGAGCAACGATGACGACGACGACGACGACGACGACGACGACGACAGCCACAGCTCAGCAAGGCGAAGAAGTCGCGACAGCATCGGGCATGGAACAGGGACAGCAATCAACGGCCACCACGATGACACCAGCACAACAGGAAACACACACTCCGCCTGCACAGGAACAAGCGCAGGCGCCATCAAGTTCCACCACGACGGGAACAGCAACCGCAACGATGTCTCAAACGACGCCACCCACACAGGAAGACTCAGCAGGGGACACATTAGGGGCCATACCAAGGACATCAGCAACGAGGCAACGGCACGCCACGGAGTGTAGCAGCGACATGGATGTGGAAGGCATGACGGAGCAAGAGCACACGCTCACCAGCCGATGGAACGCCACCTCCTTTGCAAAGGAGGGCCGTGCCATCTCACTGGTGCTGGCAACCGTGCGCGACAACATCGCCTCATTCCAGCAACGCCCGCTGCGTACCAACAAGTTCCTCAATGTCCTCATTGTGGCGGAGCGCAACTTGCTTGCCGTGGAGCAGGATGCCTTTGAAGTCGCCAAGTTTGCGCCCGCCTACGACATCACCGAAAACTTCCCGTACGTTGACTTCCCTTGGCGCATGTCGCCAACGAGAAAGCAAGCAAGCTGCTCTCTGTGTGTTTGTGTGTGTGTGTGTGGTTGTGTGCGTGTGTGTGTGTTTGT